TATTCCTCCCACTGACACCAATGTTGGGGCACTATTCCTCCCACTGACACCAATGATGGGACACTTTTCCCTCCCACTGACACCAATGATGGGACATGGGGCACGATTCTCCCACTGATACCAATTGATGGGGCACTATTCCTCCCACTGACACCAATGATGGGACACTATTCCTCTCCCACTTACACCAATGATGGGCGCACTATTCCCCCCACTGATTCCAATGGTGAGGCACTATTCCTCCCACTGACACCAATGATGGGGCACTATTCCTCCCACTGATACCAATGATGGGGCACTGATTCCTCCCATTGATACCAATGATGGGGCACTATTCCTCCCACTGACACCAATGATGGGGCACTATTCCTCCCACTGACACCAATGATGGGGCACTATTCCTCTAACTGACACCAATGATGGGGCACTATTCCTTCCACTAATACCAATGATGGGCACTATTCCTTCCACTAATATCAATGATGGGGCACTATTCCTCCCACTAACAAAAATGATGAGGCACCTATTCCTCCCACTAACACCAATGATGAGGCACTATTCCTCCCACTGACACCAATGATGGGGCACTATTCCTTCCACTGACACCAATGATGGGGCACTATTCCTTCCACTGACACCAATGATGGGGCACGATTCTCCCCACTGATACCAACATGATGGGGCACTATTCCTCCCACTGACACCAAGATGGGGCACTATTCCTCCCACTGACACCAATGATGGGGCACTATTCCTCCCACTGATTCCAATGATGAGGCACTATTCCTCCCACTGACACCAATGATGGGGGCACTATTCCTCCCACTGATACCAATGATGGGGCACTATTCCTCCCATTGATACCAATGATGGGGCACTATTCCTCCCACTGACACCAATGATGGGGCACTATTCCTCCCACTGACACCAATGATGGGGCACTATTCCTTCCACTAATACCAATGATGGGGCACTATTCCTCTCACTGACACCAATGATGGGGCACTATTCCTCCCACTGACACCAATGATGGGGCACTATTTCCTTCCACTAATATCAATGATGGGGCACTATTTCCTCCCACTGACACCAATGATGGGGCACTATTCCTCCCACTAACACCAATGATGGGGCACTCTTCCTCCTACTGATACCAATGATGGGCACTATTCTTCCCACTGATACCAATGATGGGGCACTATTCCTCCCACTGATACCAATGATGTGGCACTATTCTTCCCACTGATACCAATGATGGGCACTATTCCTCCCACTGATACCAATGATGGGGCACTAATTCTTCCCACTGATACCAATGGTGGGGCACTATTCCTCCCACTGACACCAATGATGGGGCACTATTCCTCCCCCACTGACACCAATGATGGGGCACTATTCCTCCCACTGACACCAATGATGGGGCACTATTCCTTCCACTAATACCAATGATGGGGCACTATTCCTCCCACTAACACCAATGATGGGGCACTATTCCTCCCACTGACACCAATGATGGGGCACTATTCCTTCCACTAATATCAATGATGGGGCACTATTCCTTCCACTAATACCAATGTATGGGGCACTATTCCTCCCACTTACACCAATGATGGGGCACTATTTCCTCCCACTGACACCAATGATGGGGCACTATTCCTTCCACTAACATCAATGATGGGGCACTATTCCTCCCACTGACACCAATGATGGGGCACTATTCCTTCCACTAATACCAATGATGGGGCACTATTCCTCCCACTGACACCAATGATGGGGCACTATTCCTCCCACTGACACCAATGATGGGGCACTAATCCTTCCACTAATTCTACCAATGATGGGGCACTATTCTTCCCTCTCCCACTGACACCAATGATGGGACCACACTCTTCCTCCCTACTGATACCAATGATGGGACACTATTCCTCCCACTGATACCAATGATGGGGCACTATTCCTCCCACTGATACCAATGATGGGGCAGCTAAGCTTCCTCCACTGACACCAATGATGGGGCAACACGATTCCTCCCACTGACACCAAAGATGGGACACTATTTTTGCTCCATAAGACACACTTGGGGGGGACATGTCTGTGGCGATCTTATACAGAGCGGGCCGGCCCAGTATTCCCGCCGCCGTTGTCATGTCCGCAGTCTCTGAACAAATGCGGACGCCGTACAGAGATGACCATAGTTTTTTTTTTTTAAAACTAAAGTCCACAGCCCTCCTTACATCGTTACATGAGGGACAGTGGAAACTGGCCACCCTGTTCCCATAAAAGTAAGAGGACCCAACCATGGTCTACATGTATCCATCTAAAATTAGACAACTCCAAATTGAACCACTGTGCACCAAAGTTGAAAGTGAGTAAAAAAAAAAAAAAAACCCCCCCCCCAAAAAAAATATGGAGATTGGAAGCAGATAGTGTAAAGCATGTCAACAAGTGAGAAAAAAACAAAGAAATGCCCCTTTTATTTTTTCCGCAATATATCATGTCCATGGAATGCATGATAGTATGCACAGAAAAACTCTGCAGCATGCAATAGACCAAATATATGGAGAATGGCCCAAGGAAACTTGTAGATCTTTAAGACATAATGTATCTAGACAGATTGTTTTATATTAATGTAGGGAGGTCCACACAGAAACAGTTCTGTTGTCTAATTATTAGTTATATATCAGTAATTTATATAGCGCCAAAGGTATGCTCAGCGCTTATACAGGGGCGGACTGACATTGGAAACTCTCGGCACTGCATGAGGGCCCGGTCAAAGTAGGAGCCCCATGAGATGCCCCTGTACCTTTTTTCATAGGCTTTTTTGAGTTTGGCAAGGACACACAGGGGCCCCATCAAAAGATCCCCTATTGCTCGGGGGCCCCATGATTTGTCCAGTCTGCCCCTGGTCTTATATTAATATAGAGGATGACGAGGGTAATCTATAAAATGTATTTTCCCGCAGCAACTAGTCCACCAGTTCTTTTCCAGAGAGATGCATTTATTCGGATAAAGATATTTTGTTACAGATGACAGAAAATCCAGCTGAATACCTTGTAAATAATTATAATGAACAACAGCCCAAGAATCCCATTTAAGATACTTCATATCAAAAACATGGGACATACTACAACACACCGTCCAGCAATATGTCCAACCTATAATATGCACCTAGGTAGCTTCCATAGTGAGCAATATGCGACTTATGATCTATACCTGTGCTTCCATATTAATGAAAGAAAGAATATCCTCTCCCAGCAAAAATAACTTCCCTTGAAATACAGTTTACTGGAGGAGTTTCTGATTGGTTGACAAAACACTTTTGATCTTACATGAAAAGACTTCTCACTTGTCATACTAGAGATAATAATTAAGGTCACTCTAGTGTTTACCAGGTAATCAAGTCATCCTTTACCATATAATATGCCCTCGAGTCTAATTACCATCAATAAATACTTCTTGTACTTCTTCAAAGAGCCCTCAGGATGTGTACAGCACAGGAAGAGAAAAAATAAGCAAAGCAAAGGAAAAACATATACAATATATATATATATATATATATATATATATATATATTTTTTTTTTTTTTTTTTTTTTTTCTTGTTGCTTGCAGTGTTCTACAAGCTGTCTTTGCATAGCACAGGGACAGAAAGATACATGGAAAAAAACTTTTTTTTTTTATAAAGAACTATCACCACATATTAAGAATCCATATTTGCCATTTCCTGCCTGGGCCGATTCTGACAGTTTTCTTTTGTGTGTTAAAATCAGTATTTTTTTTAGGAAAATTACTTAAAACCCCCAAACAGTCTATATTTTCTGAAAGCAGAGACCCTGCCTATCATTGCCCATCAGTTCCTGTCAGTGCTGCCTATCAGTGCCCATCAGTTCCTGTCAGTGCTGCCTATCAGTGCCCATCAGTGCAGCCTCATCAGCGCACATCCGTGAAGGAGAAAAATTACCTGTTTGCAAAATTTTTATAATAGCAACAAAACAAAACTTTTTTTTCCCAACATTTTGCTCTTTTTTTGTTTATAGCACAAATAATAAAACCCCCAGTGGCGAGTACATACCACCAAAAGAAAGTACTATTTGTGTGAAAAAATGATAAAAATGTCATATGGGTGCAGTGTTGCATGACTGCGCAATTGTTATTCAAAGTACGACAGTGCTGAAAGCTGAAAATGATCGATGTTCCACTGTGTCTGGACACAGTGGGCACCAGATTGTGGCGCTGCATGCTCCTAGGGACCGTGCACAGGCAGGGAAGAGGGAGGATTTTTATAAACGGTATTTGATATTTGATCGCATATGCGTTTCTATTTTTTGCGCTATAAAACAAAAGACCGACAATTTTGAGAAAAAACTACCGTATTTTTCGCTCCATAAGACGCACTTTTTTCCCCCCAAAAAGGGGGGGAAAATGTCAGTGCGTCTTATGGAGCGAATGTAAAGCGGCTGGGTCCGGTATTTCTGCCGCCATGTCAGACTATTGGGCCGGCCACTCAGCTCTTCTCTCCTGCAGGACCTTACCTGTTCCTCGCTCCAGCGCTGCAGTCTTCACCGCGGCGGCTTCCGTGACAGCCGGGTGTCCACTGCGCATGCGCGAGACGTGCTGTGCTTTGTGAATGGTCCGGTGTCTTCTGAGACACATGACAGGTCCCAGAAGGCTCCGAGCCATTCACAAAGCGCATGCGCAGTGGGCACCCGGCTGTCACAGAAGCCGCCGCGGGAAGAAAAAGGAAGGACAACTCCGCGGAAGTGGGAGTGGGTACCTGTCAAATTCAGGTACCCTTTCCCCCTTCCTCCCCAAAGGTCCGCAGTCTCTGGTAATCTCCTTTACTGTCTGCAGTCTCTGGTCATTCCCAGTACTATTGTCCGCAGTCTCTGGTAATCTCCTGTACTGTCTGCAGTCTCTGATCATCTCCTGTACTATGTCCGCAGTCTCTGGTAATCTCCTGTACTGTGTCCGCAGTCTCTGGTCATCTCCTGTACTGTGTCCGCAGTCTCTGGTCATCTCCTGTACTGTGTCCGCAGTCTCTGGTCATCTCCTGTACTGTGTCCGCAGTCTCTCTGGTCATCTCCTGTACTGTGTCCGCAGTCTCTGGTCATCTCCTGTACCGTGTCCGCATGTCCGCAGTCTGGTCAGTCTCTGGTCATCTCCTGTACTGTGTCCGCAGTCTCTGGTCATCTCCTGTACTATGTCCGCAGTCTCTGGTCATCTCCTGTACTATGTCCGCAGTCATCCCTCTGGTCATCTCCTGTACTGCAGTGTCCCCAGTCCAGTCTCTGGTCATCTCCTGTACTGTCCGCAGTCTCTGGTCATCCCTGTACTGTACTCTGGTCATCTCCTGTACTGCAGTCTCTGGTCATCTCCTGTACTATGTCCGCAGTCTCTGGTCATCCCTGTACTGTGTCCGCAGTCTCTGGTCATCTCCTGTACTGTGTCCGCAGTCTCTGGTCATCTCCTGTACTGTGTCCGCAGTCTCTGGTCATCTCCTGTACTGGTGTCCGCAGTCTCTGGTCATCCCCTGTACTGTGTCCGCAGTCTCTGGTCATCTCCTGTACTGTGTCCGCATCTCTGGTCCTCCTGTACAGTCCGCAGTCTGGTCATCTCCTGTACTGTGTCCGCAGTCTCTGGTCATCTCCTGTACTGTGTCCGCACTCTCTGTCATCTCCTGCACTGTCCGCAGTCTCTGGTCATCTCCTGTACTGTGTCCGCAGTCTCTGGTCATCTCCTGTATGTGTCCGCAGTCTCTGGTCATCTCCTGTACTGTGTCCGCAGTCTCTGTCATCTCCTGTACTATGTCCGCAGTCTCTGGTCATCTCCTGTACATGTCAGTCTCTGGTCATCTCCTGTACTATGTCCGCAGTCCGCAGTCTCTGGTCATCTCCTGTACTGTGTCCGCAGTCTCTGGTCATCTCCTGTACTGTGTCCGCAGTCTCTGGTCATCTCCTGTACTGTGTCCGCAGTCTCTGGTCATCTCCTGTACTATGTCCGCAGTCTCTGGTCATCTCCTGTACTGTGTCCGCAGTCTCTCTGGTCAGTCTCTGGTCATCTCCTGTACTGTACTCCGCAGTCTCTGGTCACTCCTGTACTGTGTCCGCAGTCTCTGTCATCTCCTGTACTAGTGTCCGCAGTCTCTGTCATCTCCTCCTGTACCTGTATATGTCCGCAGTCTCTGGTCATCTCCTGTACTATGTCCGCAGTCTCTGGTCATCTCCTGTACTGTGTCCCTGCATGTCCGCAGTCTCTGGTCATCTCCTGTACTGTGTCCGCAGTCTCTGGTCATCTCCTGTACTGTGTTCCGCAGTCTTGGTGTCCGCAGTCTCTGGTCATCTCCTGTACTGTGTCCGCACTCTGTCATCTCCTGTACTGTGTCCTGTCTCTGGTCATCTCCTGTACTGTGTCCGCAGTCTTTGGTCATCGTAGTCCGCAGTCTCTGTCATCTCCTGTACTGTGTCCGCAGTCTCTGGTCATCTCCTGTACTGTGTCCGCATGTCAACAGTCTGGTCATCTCCTGTACTGTGTCCGCAGTCTCTGGTCCATCTACTGTACTATGTCCGCAGTCTCTGGTCATCTCCTGTACTGTGTCCGCATCTCTCCTGTACTCCGCAGTCTCTGGTCATCTCCTGTACTGTGTCCGCAGTCTCTGGTCATCTCCTGTACCGCAGTCCTCTGGTCATCTCCTGTACTGTGTCCGCAGTCTCTGGTCATCTCCTGTACTGTGTCCGCAGTCTCTGGCCATCTGGTCATCTCCTGTACTGTTGTCCCAGTCTCTGGTCATCTCCTGTACTATGTCCGCGCTCTGTCTCTGGTCATCTGGTCATCACCTGTACTATGTCTGCAGTTTTCTGGTCATCTCCTGTACTGATGTCCGCAGTCTCTGGTCATCTCCTGTACTATGTCCGCAGTCAGGTCATCTCCTGTACTGTGTCCGCAGTCTCTGGTCATCTCCTGTACTATGTCCGCAGTCTCTGGTCATCCCCTGTACTGTGTCCGCAGTCTCTGGGTCATCCCTGTACTGTGTCAGCAGTCCCATATTTCAGAATATTTTTTTTTTTTGTCTCTCTCTAAAACCTAGGCGCGTCTTATGGAGCGAAAAATATGGTATATTTTTGACTTTTTGCTATTAAACATGTCCAGTAAAAAAAATTTAAAAAATCTAATTTCGCCATAAATTTAGGCCAAAATGCATTCTGCTACATGTCTTTGCTAAAAAAAAAAATCCCATACGTGTAAATAAATTGGCTTACGTGAAAGTTATAGCGTTTACAAATGGCGGTATATATACTGGCATCCTCTGTACTATCTCCTGTACTGTGTCCGCAGTCTCTGGTCATCTCCTGTACTGTGTCCGCAGTCTCTGGTCATCTCCTGTACCGTGTCCGCAGTCTCTGGTCATCACCTGTACTATGTCTGCAGTTTCTGGTCATCTCCTGTACTATGTCCTCAGTCTCTGGTCATCTCCTGTACTATGTCCGCAGTCTCTGGTCATCTCCTGTACTGTGTCCGCAGTCTCTGGTCATCCCCTGTACTGTGTCTGCAGTCCATTGGTTCAGAATATTTTTTTTTTGTTTTTCTCCTCTAAAACCTAGGCGCGTCTTATGGAGCGAAAAATATGGTATATTTTTGACTTTTTGCTATTAAACATGTCCAGTAAAAAAAATTTAAAAAATCTAATTTCGCCATAAATTTAGGCCAAAATGCATTCTGCTACATGTCTTTGCTAAAAAAAAAAAATCCCAATACGTGTAAATAAATTGGCTTACGTGAAAGTTATAGCGTTTACAAATGGCGGTATATATACTGGGATTTTTTTTTTAACTTTTACTAGTAATGGCGGCGATCAGCGACTTATAGTGGGACTGCGACTGACATTCTGACACTGGGGGGGGAACTGACTCGGTGTCAATGACATCCTCAGTGACACTAATACAGTGATCAGTACTAATAAAAAGCACTGACACTGTTCTAATGACACTGGGTAGGAAGGGGCTAACATGTGGGGCGATCAAAAGGTTACTGTGTGCTGTTTTACTAACTGCTGTCTGTGTGTGTGCTTTACTGTAAGCACACTGCTATGCATGGCTCTGCTATGCAAAGCCATGCATAGCAGTGTGCAGGAGCTGACAGGGGAGAGAACTGTATTGTTTACTTACAGTTCTCGCCCTCCGGCGATAATCTACTCGATCACCGGATGCCGGCGAGTAATCACCGATTGGGACCCGGTGATTGACAACTGAGGTTGCGAATATGTGATTTTGCGCACCCCTGACGCCCTGTAGCAGTATATCTGCTATAGGGCAGAGGGGAAGCGGTTATTTATTGTGTAAAAAATTAATCTTTGTTTTTAATACATTTTTTTGATTTAGTTTTAGAGGTGTCTCGCTATAGAGAGGTTAATATCTGCGGGTGGCTATTAAGGTTGACAGTCCCCCGACCAATCCTACATATATTTTGATTGCAGATTCTTAATCACATGATCTGAGGAAGGGCAAGTCCCTGAAACCTGTTATCATGATGACCGGCTTCTGTCCTTTGGTTTGACATGGTTTGAGTGCTCCCCTAGGCTCCCAGTTTTGCCCTCACCAGCCCTTGTTCGGGCGGTCTCTTGCTAGGTGTATAACATTACAACCGATCTGGGACATGTGAGTTCCGGTGAACGCGCCATCTTAGTGATCCCAGTGGCTGCCATCCACACACCCATCTCTGTCCTGAGGATCCTGGGCTGATCAACCTACTGTTGGGTCCAGGATTATGTGTCATCCTCCAGTTTGTGGGAATATGTGTTTCTCCTCTCGACTGGCTTGGTGATGTATCAATCTGGGCATTCCTACATGTCATGCTTTTTAACCCAACATTAAAGTGAATTTTGATTTTAACTGTTCCTGGGCTTGTGACTCATTGACTTCCAGGGTTGGGAGCGCTCCTTTATTTTGGTGTTTTGTGCTCATATCTCATTGCTGGCCAGATGAGTTGTTGGAGCTACCCATACTGTAGTTATCTGCATATCCCCTGGAACCTCATTGCGCTTGGTATTTGCACCTTTTTTTTTAAGATTATGTGTAATTTTTTTTTTTTTCCTTCCTGGGGAGATATTCTTTTATTTTCCATCTCAGTGACATGTTGATGTGGTTTGATGTCATTTTTCAATACACGCGACTTTCCATGGTGACAGGGAAAATTTATAGACATGTATTAATCGTTTCGTTATGAATCTAAATTCAGGCAAACTTTTTGTTATTCAGAGCTTGTATCAATTTCAACAAATCCGAAATAAATGATAAGGAAATAAATTATCCGAATTTGAATTGGAAAATGTATACGCATTCAAATTCGAAAAGGACTGTTGTCACCTTACTGTATTTATATTGCAAAAAGTACAGTAAGGTATAAAAGTGAAATAAGATGACGATTCCCAATTAGGCTGGTTTATAGAATAGAACATAATAGAATAAAATATAATAGATACTAATATAATAAAAAGAAAAGAATAAAAAACCAAATAGAAAATAAAAGATTATAAAATAAAATACAATAAAACAGAATAGAATAGAAATGAATAGAATACAATAAAACAGAACAATAGAAAATAGAAGAATAGAACACAATAGAAAATAATAGAATAAAACAGAATAGAAAAGAGTAGAATGGAACAGAAAAAAATAAAATAGAGTAAATTGAAAGAATATAGCCGTCTTCTGAAATTCAAATTTCGAATTTGAATCTTGAATTTCAAATCATTTTGAAAATAACAAATATACAAAACAAATCCGAATATATGTCCTATAGACAGGTGCACGCAACTTCTGCTCGTAATTCCAATGATTAGTCTAGGGGTTGTATTTTTTTTTTTTTTTCGTTTTAGACCTGGGATAGAGAAGGGCTATAGTGGGATACTTTTAATTGATCTATGCACAACTGAGGATAAACGGACAGTTGCTCTTCTGGACACCAGATGATGTCCCTTCTAGCTTACATCAAGCAGTTGACTATATGGGTCCGGAGGAGGCTGAACAAGTGCCATCATCCATCTAGACAAGTCTGTACTCACAAGGCCTTTGCTGCAGATCACCTTCCTCCATGATACCAGGCAACATTTGTAGACAGCCCCTTCAGTCAGCTCTCAGAAGAGCCCTGGATTTCAGCATTCTGGCTCTCGGGGTAGTCCACCTGAGGCCTCCTTGCAGCATGAGCCAGGGAGGCAACTGCCTCCTTGGGTGGAACTCCCTTCTCAGGAGGTAGAGGAAGAAGAACCCAGATCCCATGTACTCAATGAATATAAATACTACTACCCAGTATGTTCAGGGGCACCATTCCCTGTAATTGGCTGGAACTATATCCATATTCATGCTGCTGATCAGCATGGGCCACTCGTGTTCACCCAAAAACCTTCATAGGTCTCCTGGATACAGAGGAGCCACTCACAACAGCAGCACTGTGAGCCACACACCACCTAACAATTGTAGCTTTTCTGTTAAGCAGGAGACCACACTATACTAAACTAGACTATATACATCCTAGCAACCTACCTAGGAGGGTGCTACAGTGGATATAAAAAGTCCCCCTGTTAAAATGTCAGGTTTCTGTGATGTAAAAAATGAGACAAAGATAAATCATTTCAAAAATGTTTCCACCTTTAATGTAACCTATAAATTGTACAACTCAGTTGAACAACAAACTGAAATCTTGTAGGTGGAGGGAAGTAAAAATAAAAAACTAAAATAATATGGTTGCATAAGTGTGCACACCCTTAAACTAATACTTTGTGGAAGCACCTTTTGATGTTATTCCAGCACTCAGTCTTTTTGGGTATATGTCTATCAGCATGGCACATCTTGACTTGGCAATATTTGCTCACTCTTCCTTGCAAAAATACTCCATATGTTTCAGGTTGCGAGGGCATCTCCTGTGCACAGCCCTCTTCAGATCACCCCACAAGTTTTCGATCTAATTCAGGTCTGGGCTCTGGCTGGGCCATTCCAAAACTTTTATTCTCTTCTGGTGAAGTTATTCCTTTGTTGATTTGGATGTATGCTTTGGGTCGTTGTCATGCTGAAACTCTTCATGTTCAGCTTTCTAGCAGAAGCCTGAAGTTTTTGTGCCAATATTGACTGGTATTTGGAACTGTTCATAATTCCCTCTACCTTGACTAAGGCTCCAGTTCCAGCTGAAGAAAAACAGTCCCAAAGCATGATGCTGCCACCACCATGCTTCACTGTGGGTATGATGTTCTTTTGGTGATGTGCAGTGTTGTTTTTGCACCAAACATATCTTTTGTAGTTATGGC